CCACAATCACTGTTACACAGAAAGGAAGACAGAAGACGACAGTCTGTTTCCCAAACAAAGTAGGAGCTGCAAGTAGGTGTGATGGCGCTACCTCCATATCACTGTTGCAAAGCTGGCACTGAGGGAAATGGGACATCAGGTTACGGAATAATAAGAGCCGGAGCCCCATCAAGCTGTTTGAGGAAGCCTGCTTCCCTGGTGGCTCAGAGGTTAAAGTGTCTGCCTGCAATGCAGGAGACACACGTTCGATCCCTGGGTCAGGAAGATCCCCGGAGAAGGAAATTGCAACCCACTCCAGTATTCTTGCCTGGGAAATCCCATGGACGGAGGAGCCTGGTGGCCTACAGTCCACGGGGTCACAAAGAGTCGGACACGACTGAGCGATTTCACTTTCCTATCCCTCCTATAAATTCTGATGTAAACTGGGTCTAGGGAAATTTTTGCAACTCAAAAAAATCAAGCCTTCTAAGCGAAATTCCTTTTCCAAATAAACAAGTTGAGGATGATAATAACAAGTTGAGGATGAATGATAGACTTCAACTCTCATCCTGAACCAACCCTAGAGCATATATAGGCTCCAGAAAGCCCAGCTCTGCCAACAGTTGTTCCCTTAGGATGGTCCGGGCTGTCAGAAGCCACCGACAGACCTCTAGGTCGGATGCTGCTATGGGACACTGAATCCACAAAATGATCCATGATCAAAATCAAAATTTGCATGAGAAAAACATCCAAAAAGATCCATAACCATGTCTGATTATAGCTGATGGTACAGAGTGGCTCTCAGAAAGAAAAGACAACCCACCCTTCTCCAAGGAGCCCATTAATACCAAAGCATGGGGCTGCTTTGCTTGGAATGAGGTGCTTAGATTTTCATGACTGCTATCTTTTTTCTGTGCAGGAGAAACTGCTTACAAAATATCCTCAACCCCTCATCCCAGGTTCTGACTAAACTATTAAAAACAGTAGCTAACATTAGGATAGTTCATAAGTGCCCGGTAGTGAGCTAAACTTATAACCCTCAAAACAACTCTATAATGAAGATACTATTATTAGACCCATTCTACAGATGAGAAAATTGAGTCAGAAAGATGTACCAGCTTACCTAGGATTACACAACTAGTATGGAGTACAGTACAGTCAGTATTTGAATAGAGGCAACTGGATGACAAAGCTCACACTTAACTATGATGCTCACTGTGCTAAGCTCCATGGTAAAAATGTCTTTTATATCCTGCCAGTCTCTTTGGCTTCATTTGATCCACATTATAATCTCCTTGAGGTCAGGAATCATGTCTTTTAAAAATCTGTATCCACAACCTTTAGCAGTGTTTGAAATGTATTAAGTTTCCAATTCAATCAACACTTGAACCAGCAATCCTAGTCCTGGACATGTATCTGGAGAAAATCATAATCTGAAAAGATATATGTACTCCAACGTTCACTACAGCACTACTTACAACAGCCAGGACATGGAGGCAACCCAAGCATCCATCAACAGAGGAATGGATAAAGATGTCATACGATGGAATATTACTCAGCCACAACAAATAGGGAGATAATGCCATTTGCAGCACCATGGATGGACCTGGAGATTGTCATTCTGAGAGAAGTCATACAAAAACAAACATTACATGATATTGCTTATATGTGGAATCTTAAAAAAAATGGTGCATAAGAACTTACAAAACAGAAATAGAGTCATGGATATATAAAACAAACTTATGGTTACCACGGAAAGGGGGATGAATAAATTGGGAGATTGGAATTGACATATACACACCACTATATATAATATAGATAACGAACAAGAACATACTTCTAACAGCTACTCCATACTCTGTAATGATCTATATGGGGAAAGAATCTAAAAAAGAGTGGATTATCTACATACGTGTAAGTGATCCACTTTGCTGTACAGCACAAAACATTGTAAATCAACTCTACTCCAATAAAAATTAATTAAAAAATAAAACTCTGCCATATGACCCAGCAATCCCACTCCTGGGCATACACACTGAGGAAACTAGGTCTGAAAGAGACACGTGCACCCCAGTGTTCATCGCAGCACTGTTTATAATAGCCAGGACATGGAAGCAACCTAGATGCCTATAAGCAGACAAATGGATAAGGAAGCTATGGTACATATACACAATGGAATATTACTCAGCCATTAAAAAGAATTCATTTGAATCAGTTCTAATGAGATGGATGAAACTGGAGCCCATTATACAGAGCGAAGTAAGCCAGAAAGATAAAGACCAATACAGTATACTAACACATATATATGGAATTTTAAAAGATGGTAACGATAACCCTACATGCAAAACAGAAAAAGAGACACAGATGTACAGAACAGACTTTTGGACTCTGTGGGAGAAGGTGAGGGTGGGATGTTCTGAGAGAACGGCATTGAAACAAGTATACTATCAAGGGTGAAACAGACCACCAGCCCAGGTTGGATGCATGAGACAAGTGCTCAGGGCTGGTGCACTGGGATGACCCAGAGGGATGGGATGGGGAGGAAGGCGGGAGGGGGGATCGGGATGGGGAACACATGTAAATCCATGGCTGATTCATGTCAATGTATGGCAAAAACCACTACAATATTGTAAAGTAATTAGCCTCCAACTAATAAAAATAAATGAAAAAAAATTTTTTAATCAACATTTGTTGAGTGAATGAATCAAGTTGTGTCACCACACAGATTTGAATCTACTGCTTTCTACCTTAGGCAGGACTCACTGCCTTCCAGTCAAGAGGTGCCTCACAGCTGTGTTATTGCCAGTTCCACAGTACTTGTATTCTATAGACCTCTTTTCATAAGTTCTTGCCAAATTCCCTCCTTCCGTGATTAAGCAAAGTGCAAACATATCATTTCATCACTTGGCAACTTTAGGATAAATCTCTGAGAGTGTAAACCAATGTTCTACCAATCTCAAAAGTGAGAAATGATTGTGTTTTCTTTATAGATCGTTCTGTGCAGATATAATCTGAAGATAGCTGCTAGCATGCATTTCTGTAATCCACCTTTATATGATATGACAAGTGCTTTCATTAGCTCAATCACTGTTTAGTAAAAAAAAAAAAATATTCAATCTTCTTGACTCCTAGAGACAGAAGGATTGCAAAGGAATGTTCTCCATTGCTACTATGAGTCATGGCTAAATCATTGGTAACTAAGTGGCCCATGTTTTGGCTCTTATGGCATAAATAGATGATACAAAATTACATTCAAAGACAGGAACAGAAATTTACTAACTCCTAAGTTCTCTGAGTTTCATACTCAAAATAGAAAGATTCAGTACAGTGTTTCTAATTTAAGTGTGTGAATTCTGACTGCATGTTTTAAGTGCATCAGGGTTAGAAATTACAGTCTATGTATGTGAATAAACTAGTATTTTTATACTTAAAAGTTCTTTGTAGACTTTTCTCTTTTAATGCAGCCGAACCTTCAACAAATTTTGGCAAGGCTAATCATTTTCCTATGCCGTTTCTGCCACTGCTAAATACATCAAATACCTATGTAAACAGTGCAAAATATTTTTATTTAGCTAAATAATTTAGAGAGCTGAACCCTGCCATATTTGGCAGGCATTTTTTGATTTTGCTTTTATGCCTAAATGTTATATTGTAAGCACATACTCATGTCACTAAAACTGTTGATGAATATGAATAATACCCTATAATTTCTATCATTTACTTACTTGTTATCCTATTCTTGAATATGAAGGATATCCAAGTTTTTTTTTTTTACTATTATAAGTAACACTATGATGAATATCATCATACATCCATATCTGATCCTTCTTTGGTAAAAACTTGCAAGGAATCAAGTTGTTAAATAGAAAATAATGAATGTTCTTGAGGTTTTTCAGTAAACAGCCAAATTGTGTTCCAGTTACCTGCCATGGCATCAAATTACCTGCTTTCTCTGCCCCTGCTGGTATCTACTGTCTGTATCTGATAATTAGAAATCTAATTTTATGTCATATTATGTTCTTTCTGTTTCCCTCTCTTTGTGGCTTATTTCTTAGTGCGTTGTTCCTGTGGTTTGTGAGTGCACGGTCGGCGAAGAATCATGGGGATGGCATAAGCTTGGGCTGAGGTTCCACTTCCAGAAAGAGTTTGCTCTGGATTGTGCCAGTACCCCAGTGGAGTTCCAATCTGGAACAAATTTAAGTTATTTGTTTGGCTAAATAAGTGGCATAAATTCTAGGCCCAACTTACATGAGGATGGGGCTATGGTTATAGTTAAACTATGGTTATACTATAGTTATGGTTATACTACAATTATACTATGGTTATAAAATTTTATAGGTGGCCTTTTTCTATCCACAGTCTAAGAGGAAACAGGTAAATTTCCTTGTGGGCTCAGTCACTCAGTCACTCAGACATGTCCAGCTCTTTGCAGCCCCAGGGACTGCAACCCACCAGGCTCCTCTGTCCATGGGATTTTTCAGGCAAGAATACTGCAGTGGGTTGCCATTTCCTCCTCTGGGGGATTTCCTGACCCAGGGATCAAAGTCGTGTCTCCTGCATTGGCAGGTGGATTCTTTACCACTGAGCCACCTGGGAAGCCACTGTTAAGTTTCTTTATCCAGTTTTAAATATGTATATATATATATACTTTTAAAAAATTTATTTTGGCCACACTGTATGGGCATGCGGCATCTTCCCCAAACAGGGATCGAAACCCTGCCTCCTGCAATGGAAGCTCAGAGTCTTAATCACCAGGGAAGCCCTCCTTATTCCTTTTATGACAGTTTTTTCCCTCCAACCTTCCCTCCTACTAAGGGTAAAACTCTTTGTTTAGGATCTATGTGACACACCTAGGCATTAAAACCCAAGGCTCAGGTGCCAGTTGCTAGGAGACTGCCTTGCCATCCCCGTGTCTAACTGTCTAGGTAAACTGCATTCATTTAAAGGGGTCTCAGTGGTCTAGCAGATGAGGGGAGAAAGGCTTGTTACATTCATCTTCACACCCCACCCTTACTTTCCAGGTCAATGAGAGACATCAACTCAGTCAGTAGCAGGACGCCAGATGACCTCACCCCTGTCCACCTGGAGACCAGAGAGATTCCCCCAGAGCCTTCAGATGCTGACAAAAGCCCTGAGGTCAGCAGTGGCTTGAGTGCCTGTTTATCATGGTGTCGTCCAACTCCCTCTGGCTTTGGCTGCATGGCTTTGAAATGTCACCTTGATATTTAGAGGGATGTATCTCATTCTGGGCTTCCCTGCGGCTCAGACAGTAAAGAATCCGCCTGCAATACAGGAGATCTGAGTTTGATCTCTGGGTCGGGAAGATCCCCTGGAGAAGGGAATGGCAACCCACTCCAGTATTCTTGCCTGGGAATCCCATGGACAGAGGTGCCTGGTGGGTTACAGTCCATGGGGTCTCGAGAGTCGGACACGACTTAGCGACTAAAACCAACCAACCAACTATCTCATTCTGACTCCCTGATTTGTAGGTGTTCTTCAGTGGAAGAGTATTCAGGGTTATCTCTGCCATGTTGCCAGAAGTGGCCCCATCCATCACCCCTAGACCTCCTCTCACCACCCTCCTCCCACGCTCCAGAGTTGCTGGCATCCTGCTCACGGTTCTGTCTCTTCTCCAAGCCGTCTCATCATCCTGGGCCCTGTCAGCATGGCTGTGGGTGATCCATCCAACATCTCAGCCTCTCAATTCCTTGAATTTCTCACTTTTAATGATCTTTGTTTTCACCTTCTTTCAGTCACCTACTACGGGCCTTTTCCACCACACCAGTGATACCACCTTTACAAATGTGAATTCCATCATGTTCCTCTTGACCCACGATCTCTTATATTTCCAATTCTCTCATCTGGTTGCTTCCTTGACATCTCCTCCAGTCTTCCCTCTCCTTCCTGTCCAGCTTACATGCCAGAGTCCATATTTTACACTCTCCACCCACTTTGCCCAAACACGCTTCAGTGGCACCTGCCTGAACAACAACAAACTCAGTGGGATGCAACAGCCTGCCTTTTTCACACTTTCCCCTTGAGCTTATTCAAAAACCCACATAAACTATGTAGATGTTGCCTCTTATATTCCAGTTCTGTGTCTGTATCTAAACTGCTCAGCAAGGCTTTTAGGTCTCCATAGTTCATTCTGTCTGCCATGATACACAACCATCATGGCAAAACTTCTCCAGGAAACCGTGACTCTCTCCACAGCCCTTGACATAAGAACTGTCCTACTTCACAGGAGAAACGGACGCCATCAGAGAACTCCTCAGCCTTCCTGCCACCAAATTTCTACCTTACCCCACTGTGGCAGGCAGGCAGCCTTGTAACGGTCCCGCTTGTCAGGATTCACACTCCTATCCAGTCACCTTCCTTTGAGTGAGGGCTGGACCAAATGACTCCATTGTAACGAACAGAGTTCAGCAGAAGTGACTGGATGCATCACTTCTGAGGGTGATAACAAAGAGTGACCTTCACCTTGCTGGCCCTCTCTTGCTTTCTCCTGGGCTCACTCGGCCATGTTTCAAGCTGCCCTGGGCAGAGGCCGATGGGGCAGGAAACGGAGGGGCGGAGCGCCGGACAACAACCAGCCAGGAACTGGGATCCTCAGTCCAAGGGCTCACCAAAGACAAAACCCTACCAACAGCCTGGAGAGCGAGCTTGAAAGTGGATCCTTTGTGAGTTGAGGGTGGAGATGCTACAGTCCTGGTACATACCTGGATTGCAATTTCAGAGACTCTCTGAGTCAGAGGACTCAGCTAAGATGCCTGGATTCCTGACCACAGACGTAATCACCGCATTGTTTGAGGCAGCTACATCTTGGTGTAATTTGTTGTCACACAGCAACAGACAAGGAATACACATGCCCACTCTGCCTTCCTGCCTTTGCGGCAGTGGGAAAAGAGCATCTCCCAGCCTGGGAACATTCCACCACCTGTGGGAGAGGCCCTTTTCCTCTCCCAGGTCCCAGTCTGTCCCCCACAAACCAGCTCCTCCTCCAAGATCACGCCTGACTCGTGGGCTCCTCCTGTGTCTCATCACACGTGTCCGCACGCCTCCTTTAAGAGTAGAAACCCAGGAGACAGGAGGCACGCTGCTCTGGTTCACTGATGCACCCTCAGTTCCCACCACCATGCTTTGAAGGCGAAGGCTCTTCATAATAATTTGGTGAATGAAAGTACCAGGAATGGATATTCACAGAGTTTTTGGAGATAGTCTGTTTCTTTTTTTTTTTTTAGTCCTCAATCTTTATTTTTTTTTCCAATTATTTTTATTAGTTGGAGGCTAATTACTTTACAATATTGTAGTGGTTTTTGCCATACATTGACATGAATCAGCCATGGATTTACATGTGTTCCCCATCCCGATCCCCCCTCCCACCTCCCTCCCCATCCCATCCCTCTGGGTCGTCCCAGTGCACCAGCCCCAAGCACTTGTTTCATGCATCCAACCTGGACTGGCGATCTGCTTCACACTTGATAATATACATGTTTCGATGCTGTTCTCTCAGATCATCCCACCCTTGCCTTCTCCCATGATAGTCTGGTTCTTTGGTGTGGGTTGGCACTGCCGTATCACTCATTTTAAAGCTTAAAGATGAAAATCTAGTTTGAAACTATACCCACGACGGTCATCTGCTGAAATGGCTGCTCTGGCTGCACTGTTGGTTTTGGAGTTTTGTTTTGGTTGTGCCATGAGTCAGGCAGCATCTCGGTTCCTCACCAGGGATGGAAGCCTGAGCTTCCTGCAGTGGAAGCGTGGAGTCTTAACCACCGGACCACCAGGGAATTCCCACACGTCTATTTTCTCAATGAAAAGAACTCTCTCAGCTTTATCATTAAATGAAGAGGCCCATATCAGCCTCTTAAGGACAGTTCCTAAGTCCACACGACTACTTCTCAGGGAGTTATAAGAATTTGCTTTAAAAACACTTCGGGAGACAAGAGGGCTGCAGCACGCAGTTCCCTGGTGGGCGCCCTGCAGAATCAGGGCCCAGGGGCTCCCGCAGAGCAAAGACAAGAGAGGAACAAGTCTTAGTATTGGTATATTGTTTTTTTTCTTTCTGGCCGTGCCACGTGGCATGAGAGATCTTAGTGCCCCGACCAGGGATGGAACCCACGCTCCCTGCAGTAGAAGCGCGGAGTCTTAACCACGGGACTGCTGGGGAGGGAATTCCCTGAGTTGTCGTTGATGTTGCTTTCTACTAAAGACAGCCTCCTGCCAAATGGAAATATTTTCCTTCCTTCAACCAGGTCATCTGCTAGCCAATAATGCCCCCTCATGCAAAATTTTTAAAGCGGGTCTCTTTTCTTCTTGGCAGCTTCCCAGGTGGCACAGTGGTAAAGAACTCGCCTGGCAGTGCATGAGATCCAAGAGACTCAGGTTCGATCCCTGGGTCAGGAAGATCCCCTAGAAAAGGAAATGACAACCCTCTCCAGTATTCTGACCTGGAAAGTTCCATGGACAGAGGAGCCTGGCAGGCTATAGTCCATGGAGTCACAAAGAGTCGGATACAACTGTGATTCTGTGCACACACAACTGTGAGAACGCAAAAAAAACTTTTCTTCTTGGCAGCTTCCGAGTGTGGCAAGCAGTGTACAGGCTGGATTTCAGGCCACACTCTCCCCCAGGGCCAGTGCCCTTCTGCAGTGAACCACCTACACATCCTTACATTGCTACCCTGCTCAACCCTTCATCCAGGGAAAAGCCGATTTGTTCTCTTGAGTCCTGGGCTCCCTTGCTTCCCCTAAGAAAGTCAAGGGCCAATAAGAGTTGAATTACATTAGATGATCCAAGAAGTGGGGGGATAGAGAATGCTGCTTCGCACTGAAGAGGGGAAGGGGTAAAGCTGGCTAGGATCTCCCTCCCCCGGGGAAGGCAAGTCTGTGGGTGCCTCTCCAGCAGCCACAGGGCCCCCCCATCCCACATGCAATGGTCAGTGAAGGAGCAACAGTGATCGTGAGCACAAAGAGCAGAGAATAAGGCTTCTCCCTCGGCTGACCCACAGGAGTGGGAGGGGGCTAGGCAAGCAGTTGACCAGGGCAATCTCCCCGATGTTGGCAAACCAATGAGGGATGGGGTGTCTTGGACCAGACTTAAGTTAATGTAAAAAGATAAATAATCAGACTTTATCTGTACAGTATAACATTATATCTGTACCCAGATTCCCCGCTAACCTCCCCTGTATCCCTTATTGCTATCTGTACTGCTTAAGCCTTTGCTGAGGTTCTATTTCTGGCTCAGATGGTAAAGAATTCCCCTGCAATGTGGGAGACCCAGGTTCGATCCCTGGGTCAGGAAGATACCCTGGAGAAGGGAATAGCTACCCACTCTGGTGTTCTTGTCTGGAGAATCCCCATGGACAGAAGAACCTGGCGGGCTACAGTCCACAGAGTCACAAAGAGTCAGACACGACTGAGAGACTTTCACTCATTCACTCACTCATTCATTTCATATTTAAGCTACTTAAATAGGTATTTCAGGGCTTTCCCTGCATCTCTCTTCTCTCACTTCCCCTCCACCTATTATATGATTACCAGATTCATCTCTTTACATGAAGATTTTCATGAAGACTTTCAGGATATCACTGTGGTACCCAAACATTTTCAACTGCTCCCCACTTATTAGAGGCTGTAACTCCAAGTTATTGCCTGGGTTCAAAGCCTTGCCCAGTAGGATTTCAATGTATACATTCTGTTTCATCTCCCATTCTCCTAACCTGTGATTCCAGCCAAACTGAAAATTCACCTGAAGCTCTCTCCTCTTAATGCTTCTGTCCATCCCATTTCTTCTGGCTGGGATTTTTGACACTTTTTTAAAAAAAAACCAAAATCTTATATAACCTTTAACATATTAATGGTTAAATATTAACATGAAAATTTTCCCTTCTCCCAAATCCTTTCCTAACTCCTTCAGCCCCTAAAGTCTCTTCCCATCCTTTATATTATTTGTGATCACAATTAAATTTTCCTACATTATGCAATAATTTATCTTAAAACGCCGAGGCCCTTGACTATGAGTTCATAGGGGCAGGAATGAGAGCAATTGTTTACCATTTTACATCTTAGATCCCCTGGAGTAAGAAATGGCAACCCACTCCAATATTCCTGCCTGGAAAACTCCATGGACAGAGA